CAATTTTTTTTTAGAGTTTTTCCTTGTACTATTATCTTTCTCAAAGCGACTATTTACTACGGCGAGTAGCGAAAAACAAGATGGCGCTCCAATAACTACATCGGGTGTAACAAAGTAATAAACGGCGGAAGGCAAGGCTATACCATTCGTCAAAATAAAATGATTTCAACAAATTTCGATAATTGAATATATTACAAGATTTTGCCGTTTGAGCGAGAAACCTTCATAGATTCCTATGTAAAGTGAGGTAAAATGTTTTAATATTCAATCGCAAAAAGCAGAGGGACTATACAAAGTACGGAGAACATTTTTTTTTAATGTGTTACTATACGACCGCTACTTCTGAAACCAATTTCAACAAATATTCAAAGATTTATATATAGCATGCTATATTGAAAATAGTCCGCTCGCCTGCTAATAAACATAGGGCAATGCGCAGCCATTGTTACATGGATGCGCGTGGTAACATGAAACCTGAGAAATGCAAATGTCCGTGATTTCTGCCATGTTTTGCGAAGCAGAAAAAAGGAAAATATTCGCTTTGAGAAAGATAGTATTACATGCAAAAACTCTCAAAAAAATTTGACAGGTTAGCAAAATACATTTACTACATAGAAATTAGTTTAAATACAAGTTTTTTTAAAGAATTAATACAAAAACAACGGCGAAAAAAAAACATGTTCATTGAGAATATAAATTGTGTAGAAAAGTTTGCAACGAAAGACAAATGAATTTGCAGTTAACAAGCACTTACTATACTACCAAACATCTGTATAATATATCTGATCTTTTCTGTGAGATATACCGGTTCTTAAACCATTTCTTTAACTTCGTCTTCGTCTTCGTCTTCCAGTTGTAAAACAAAAGTATTTCAAATTTTCAATGCCAAGCGGGTTTTGGCCGAACAAATTGTCAATACATTGTAACAGAGAATAATTAATTATTGCTTCAGTTAATGGCTATTAGACTATATTAGACTTTATAATATAAGTGTGATACAACAGACGATTTGATTGGGTAATGCGCGTGCATTGTGACGCAATAATGCACTGTGATCTATGGCACTGCTTTGCTCTTTCTCTGTTTTTTTCCCCTCTTCGTCACTGCTTTTTAGCCAAAATTATACACAGAATTATAGAGCTTTTAAAATACAAAGTTTTCCAGAAAGCAAGAAGGAATAGACCAAAGGAACAAAGCAATTTTCTATAATACTACTTATAAAATTAACCGTCTTGGCATTCGTCGAATTTGTTGTTGTCTCGACAAGTTTTGGGTAAAAATGCGTACAAAATAGTCGAGAAAAAAAACGGAAGAGGCAATACAAAACATACAAAAAGGCAACAAAAACTTAATATAAGTGATTTAGAAAGTACCTTAAATTCTTCTGATAATAACTACTAGATATATTTTCGGCGAAAGACAAAAAATACAATAATTTCGAAAATTAAAACTGAGTAAATAAACACGACGAAACCTACGATTTACCGTCTTTCATGGCAAATCCAGCAGCCCAGATGCTGAAAAACTTTGTAAAATTAGTCTGTGTGTCACTGCTTTTTTATTTCCACTATTTTAAACAATTTTACCGGCTTTATAGCATCAAAAGTTTGTATATTGTTTTGGCAATTTTTCTCCTTCGCTCGCTTAAAAATTCAAGCGACAGTAAAAGCATGCGCGTGAGGTCACTGAGTACATGTTAGGAGAATTTCAACGTCGATCTTTTGAGTAAAATTGTTTACTATGTAATATACATAGTAAACCCAACCCAATATTAACCCAATATTATTTATTTCAACCTCGCTTTCAACTGACTTGCAGTCTGCCAGTCTTGGTAACCCAGTAGCCTTAATTCAGTCCGATTCGTTCTTTCGTTGTTGTTGCACCAACAAAAATACGTTAATTAATAAAGAGTATGTCCAGAGTACAACACAACATGAAAAACACAGTTCAATTCGGTGAAAATTTAGCGAAATTGTCAGAAATATGATTTGCCCACTCATCACGCAACCGCTATTTCGCAACTGAACTATATAGGTCACTGAAGCATACTTGAAAAATAATCCATTAGATGTATCCACAAAATACACCGATGTACCTGTGAAATGTTCATTTTGCGACATCCTAAAGACAGACAATTAGCATTTTAAAGTTCCCTCGGGCTACGCCCGACGGAGCAATAACGACCACCTGAATTAATTAACATAACTGTAGATCGATCAGTGCGCACACCACAGACAATTTTTGCCATTATACTATGGGACAATTTAGTTTTAGGAACGTTATATAGACAACACGCATTTTATGCAGATATATATCGCTCCCTCCCTCCCCCCACCCGTTTCAATGTTGCGTCTATGCCAGAAGACGTCTCGTTTGTGATATATTATTTTTTTATGGCAGCAACATTGAACAGGGGACATGGGGAAACTGAACATTGGCGGTGTTAAGACGTTTCACTATTTGTCCCATAGTTTCTGGCAAAGATTGTAGACTTGACCAAGATATAGTCACAAGAAACAGGCCGTTCCAACATATAAATATTATTGTTGGAAAACGCAACTCCAGGAGCAGTTCTCTTGTGTCTGGACATTTTAATGGGCCGTAACATGCTGTAAGAGAAGGAAAATTATCATAATTTTTAAACTAAACATTTTATTTTAGCAACATTACATAATGGTTCACAAAACAAAGCTTATAAATGTGATCAATTAAGAAAACAAAGTAATCTTGAAAGTATGCATTGACAATCGAGGTTGAAAAAAATTTAAATCATAACTTTAGCTAACTGCATTATGCATTAAAAAGTATGACACTGAATTATGTACAGCGTTTTCCAAACGGAGTGGGTTTCTGTGAAGGTGAAAGGGCCCTTGGTACTCCTGTTTCGGCATCAACAACATAAAATTGCACTGGACCTTTTACCTAGAAAAATATTAGAAAATACAATAGAGCTATATTCCATATAGATAACTTAATTCCTTTTCTGGGGTCGGCTGTATAAAAACGTAGTTAGCGCAAACTGCAGTTAAAAAGTAGTTAGCAAGTAGTTAACTTTGATCACGTAGTTAAGCTGGTTGTACAAAAATATAGTTATAGCCTTAACTGCAGTTAAAAAGTAGTTAAAAAGTAGTTAACTTTGATCACGTAGTTAAGCTGGTTGTAAAAATATGTAGTTAGCCTTAACTGCAGTTAAAAAGTAGTTAAAGTTAACTATGATTGACGGTATAGTTAACTATTCAAAACGTAGTTAAAATGGCGTTTGTATACATAGGACTAATAGGAGTGAACAATGGTGTAGTCCTGGAATTTTAACAAGTGGGGCTCTCCAAAAGTGTCCTGAATTGGTGGGAGGGGGGGGGGGGGTTACAATAAGATATTTTGGAAATCCTACATTTTGTTGGAGTTTATTCTGGTAATTGTGGGACAAACATTCGACAGTATTCTTATTAAATTTAATTGCAGTTAGTAATATAAAATATTCTGAGCGTCTCAAAAGGGTATGGAATTCAAGGTTTCTGTACTATTGTTTGAAGATGTAAAGCCGGTGGTGTACCTTCGAGCGAAAACTATATTCTGTGGTATGATTGATAAGCGAAAAAAAAATTGCCGTGAAAAAATAGGACGCGGTGAACTTCCCTTCCTCTAAGTAATTTCGCCCAGTGGGAAAGCGGGGTTCAGAAAATATGAAAATTATGGCTTGGACTGTGACTTTGGCTCCTGGTTTAAATTTTCCATACTACTAACAGCCTAATATTTATAAACTGTAACATATATTATTTTTTAAAATATCTTTAATAACAGCTGTATGATGTGAGTGCAGTGCGGGTGTAGAATACGGGTACAACGGGTGCACAAAGTACCCCTTTTTTGCGTGAAAAATTTTCATTAAAATTGCATTTTTTCCGCAAAGGGCATTTTTGAAAAATTAAATCTTTGTTATTTCCGGAAAAATGTTTTAATTTCGGGAAAATATAACATATATCCGGAAATTTTTCTGTATGTCCTGAAAATTTTTTTCATATATATTTAGGAAAGATTGTGGTATGTCTGGAAAAATTTTTTTACCCCTAAAATAGTACACTGACCGAAATTTTTTTGGCGACGGAGGGGGGAGGTCGCCCATTTTAGATGCCCTTTCATTTTCATTAGTGCCCTTTTGTTAAGGAATATGCCCTCTTGTTAACCAATTGCACCCCTTGCCCTCAACAACTTCCGGCATTGATGTGGGGGGGGGGGGTTAAAAAAGAGGGCCGAAGACCCAAGGAAATTTTTCAATTTAGACTCTCTGAAATGGCATTTCCTGGACTTTGGGGAATATTTGACAGCATTGTGATAGTCAGAAAAGAGCGTTTTAGTATGTCGAAATTTACAATTTAGTAGTTCTAAATGGGCGGCGAAGGCGTATTTAATTAAATATACTGGATAATATGCAGGAAAGTATGGGTAATATCTTCATTGTTTGCAGCTTGTCATGGATAATGTAGCCGCTTAAAATTAATTAATGGACCATTTGCATTATAGGCTAAATTTTGGTCTAGACAAAAATTTCATCACAGCTTGAAAGAGCATCACAAAATGAGTAATATTCCAAAGTTTCGTTGCGAAATGTTGTAAAATGCGAATATTATAGCATTGCGAAATTTGCAATTTTCAGTCATTTTAGATTACAAACGGGAAATTGACAGCCCAACACCCGATTGGGCTGTCAATTTCCGGTGCGTAATACAAAATGACTGAAAAACGGCAAACTTCGCAAGGCTATATTATCCGTATTTTACAACATTTCGCAACGAAACTTTGGAATATTACTAATTTGTGATGTTCTTTCAAGCTTTGATGAAATTTTTGTCTAGATCAAAATTTGGTCTATAATGCAAATGGTCCATTGTCAGTGTTTTAATGATATATTATTTAAATGTATCGAGTAGCCACAGACTGGTCAATTGTCCTTGGCACATACGGTGAAGACTCTACAATTTGTGAGGTCTGAAGTCCAAACTTTATAGGTCTATGCGCCTAGCTAGGGGATCAGAGGAGACAGAATTCGAATGCCAGCCACCTTTGCTCATTAGATCGTGAGATGTGCGATAGATATGTAAGGCTTCATCATCATCATAAGCTCCCCTGGCGAAATCATCAACGTTCAGAGACTCGAGCAACAATGAGACTATCTCTGGTCCAATTTCCTTGTATTTTGAAAGATGATGGGATATGGTGCTGGATAAGATAGCAGGACTGGGGGTTAGACCAAATGGCAGACGTCGAAACTCGTATTTTTTGAGGGCCGGGGATCTTGACTAATATCTTCAAACCGGAGAAACTTCAACATCTTCCTGTCATCAGGAGCAATTTGTATCTGATGGAAGGCATTCCCGATATCAGCAACAAGTCCGATGGGATAACCTCTGAAATTTACAACAGTATCAAATAGATGTGGAACTAAATTTGGACCCTTTTGGAGGCAGTCATTTAACGACAGATCATCTTTCGAAGGTTTCGCGGAACCGTCAAGCACGACTCTAAGTTTTGTTGTTTCTTTATCTTGGCGAATCACTCCATGGTGTCTAGTTTCTCCAGGTTCAACTACGGAGTCTACGATACCGCTGTTCTCTTGATCCTTAAATATGTCGTCATATTGTTCGAGTAATTGTTTGTCTTTATCGAGACGAGACTTTAGTTGATGGAGTCGTTTCAAACACATACCGTATCCGTTCGATTTCGGAATACTCTCATTCTTCCATGGTAAGCTAACTTCGTATCTTGCTTCATTGTCGAGATATAGAATATCCTTCAAAAATTCTTCTTGGGTCACTTCCTCCTCGTTAATTCCCATCGACTCTATCTCCCAGAATTGAGTTAAACACTTTGAAAGTTCAGATTCATCCTCTCTCAACGTAAATGAGGATGGTGTTGATAATGAACATTGCTCGTCGATGAGCAAATGAACTCCGAGACTTTCGAACACGATTCTGTATAAGTTGTCGGACCAGTAACAACCCAGCCAAAGTCGCTGCTAACGGCCACGGGCCCACTTTCGCCTCGTACCATCTCGGCAGTGAGAATATCGAAATAATAAACTGCGCCAATAAGAATGTCGATACTGCTATCACTTTGTCGTCCTTCGGCAATGTTGAGATCAGAAAGCTGTAAATCTTGCAAATGCGGGTGTAAGCTTAAATCAATGGTGATTGTCAATTGTGCGCAAAGATTTGGAAAACAAAGTGCCGTTATCTTTCGGTTGTCACTATTTCCCTTCAACGATAACTGGACTATATCGCAACGTCGTTTCTTAAAATGATCATCACCAAAGGTATTTAAATTAAGAGTCTCTGTTCGGATTGGAACCAGACCGAGTCGCTTCTTTAATGAATTGGTAATGTAGGAACATTGGCTACCGCTATCGAAACGTAATCGAACTGGTATAGGATTGGAGCCATTTTCCCCTTGCGCATACGTAACTGCTGTTTGCAGAAGAACTTTACTCCGCGTTTTTGTGGTCGTTGTTGTCGTCGAATCTTCTGTTGTCATATAGCCAGTTGTAGTCGGATTATCAGTTGAAGTCAAATTGTCAATGACGGTTGCAGTGCTAGTATTATTTGGTTCTCTAGGTAACTCTGGGTGGGATCGGTTTATTTCCATTCATGAAAGGTGGTGTATAGTGTGAGCCCTTGGATGCCTCACAAATTGATTGGTGATGCCTGCCTCACCATCGTCTACAATTCTTTTTCGACTCTCATCTTGTACTGCGATGACCAATCCCCAAGCATGAAAAACACCGATTGTCTCTCCTCAATATATCCTTGTGAGCATTTGGGTTTGTGACTTGGTCACATAATGCCGAAAAATGAAATTCTTTGCAATAAACACATTGGATATGTTTACCAGTTTTGTCTTGAGTCGTAAATGCACCTGCAGAGGGTATATATACTAGGGGAGTAGGGTGGGATAGATTTTTTACTCGGTTGTTGACTTGACTGCACTCCCTCACTCACTTCCCGCGCTTCGATCTCAGTTTTTATTGTGCCTAACAATTCCTACATTTTCCAAACGTCTGCCGTCGATTTTCTAGCAATTTCAAGGGGGATTTCGGTTGGCAATTTAGACATAATAATTGGGATTAGCATGCTACCGTATTGTTCAGAAGATACCCGAGAGACGCCAAACCACGCACATGGACACTTATTTTGTTGTAAACATATCTGAGTTGACTTGTACGACGGTTCATGCAAACTTGGATCTTCAAAATTTCATCCATGTGAGCAGCTATTATCTGCTGAGTTTTTCCAAATCGTCCTCGTAAAATTGTAATCGCAGCGTCATAATTTGCTGGTCAATGTGAGACCTTTTATTGCTCGCGCTGCCTGTCCCTCGAGTAATGATTGTAAAAAATTAAACTTATTAACTTTCGAAATAGTTGGGTTTATATGAATAGCTGAATCATATAAGTCCCAAAAAGAATTCCACTCAGTTACTTTCCTCCATATTTATGGAGTTCCAACTTCGGAAGCTTGGGCAAACTTGGTACAAAATGTCCCAATAGTGTTGTTGACATTGTCGTAGTTGTTGATTGCTGTAATAAAGGCGAACTGTTCCCTAAATTTAAACTCGTATTTTCCTCGTTTTCTTCGATCGTAGTCGGTAAATTATCTGCTGTACTTTCGGTTGTATTTTCGATATTTTCCAGTCCCATACTCGTGCTGGGAATCAAGTTCGAATTTGTAACTATAACATTCGTATTATTAATATGATCCTGACCTTTTTGCAGACTTGGCAGATTTCGTGTGTTTGTCGATTCTTCACTTCGTATTCGAAATTCTATAGGAAATTTCGGCTGTTTCTTCGATTTCGTTTTGTATATCATTCACGTCGCAAATGTCCAATATTTCTTCGTCGATTTCGCTTAATAATTTCAGTTTTTCTTGGAGTTGTACAGCAATAACTTCGCTTCGTTCGATGTGATCTCCTTCGCTGTCGGGTATTTGTAATAATTCAGTCGCTTCCTTTTCGAGTTTTGTACACACACTGGGATGACCTCGTCCTCTGTCACGTAGCCTATTCAATTTTTCCTTCACTTCGTCGACCATTTCGTAATTTCGGGTTCGGTTGGGCGACTTTATTTCGAAAAAGTCAGCCCCACCTTGGACGCCATGTTATGCGCGTCGCATAATATATGTAGTGATAGTCACCCGATATCACTAAACGGATATTAAGCTGTTTTGGCTCAAAGACATTAATAACTTTTGGAACTTCTACAACCATTATTTTTAGTCATATTACTTTAAACCTTTTAGGAAGTAGACTCGCCTAGATTTAATCTTTACCCCGCAAAAACTATTAACATAAAATTTCCTCTTGGCAGCCAACACTTGTACATATTTATATCTTGTTATCACTTCTAGCCTAATTGTATTAACGCGCCTTAATTATCTTGATCCTAATCTTAATCGCTTTTCCGCCTGGGCTCTACTAACTCGCGTAAAAATAACTTGTAAATATTCTTAGTAAGACAGTGTTAGCTTTGCGCTCTAGCGAGTAATCGTGCGCAACTCATCACTAGATATTAAAAGACGACTCCACAATTGTGAAGTAAAATAAATGTATCAAATTATCTATTAGCGTTCTACGTATTTTCACAAACACTATAACAAATCAATACTCGCGCTAAATATATCTCGAATTTCCTCGCTAATACTCAACGTTCGTTTAAAGGGACACTCCACCCCCAGAACGAGTGTCGCTCATAAGACCGTTTATATGAGCCTACCTTGGAATGAATATTTGTTCGCCTCAATTCTTTTTCGTTTGCGAGAAATTTAACTTTGTTTCACTGATTTTTCGTCCATTATCGCCGCCATGTTTGTTGAATCCCCGGGTGGTCCTATGAGTGCCGTGACGTAAGTGTGCGATAGAAACAAATTGTATAATCACTATTAATCAGATTTGCTTCGAAACAAATTGTAAACCAAGCTTTAGTCTTCAGAGTTTCCTTTTAAATATTTTTTAACCGAAGATGCCTCATTGCATGGTTCCTGAGTGACTATAACAACTCACAAAAAACTGTGGGAATCAGCTATACCACAGAATTCCAAAAGAAAAAGGTTTGCGAGAAGCGGGGTTGGTGAGAATTCGCAGTCTGAGTAAACTACGCGATATAAATAATCCATGTGTTTTACACCAGACTGCTTCGAAATAACGCTCGAACTTGTGCCTGGCTACCAAAAAAGGCCAAAGCTAAAATATGGCACAGAATAAAGATGAAATAACAGCACAGGATGAAGAAGAAATCAAATCCGCTCTGAACAAGCCAGACAAGAGGTATTAAACAAGCCATGAACGCTTGCATATATCTGTAGTATAAAAAACTTGTACATTATGTAATTTATATTTTGTAGTTTTCATATTGTGGCAGCATGCAATATGATTGGCAAGTGTTGTAAATTTCGTTTATACACAAAAAATTTATATTCTCATGAACATGCCGCAGAGTGTGCATTTTGCTTTTTAATTAAACTTAAAAATTTAAGGTACTTTTTATATAATTAAGAGTTAGTTTCTCTATTTAACCGAACAGCAAACAAATATTTAATTAGTCAGTTCTGTGCAAGGCTTGACTGTCAAGCTTTCTCAAGGTCTCAACTTGCTGGACGCGGATATACTCTAACGACTATTAAAACGGGCTAACAACAGCAACAATGAAATTCTCAATCGTACCACGAAGAAAGCGATGTAGCTCAGAAAACAACGCCGGTAGGACCTGATATTAAAAATAAGACTTAATTTGCTGGCGAAGCCAGTTGATAGAACATCTTGGATGTCAACAACAAGCTTTCGAATACATGAGTAGTTTGGCTGTTCTCTCAGTGTGTCCAAATTGATTTATTTTCTTTCATAAAGTATAAAATAAAAGAAATTCGAAGAAATCGATAATGAATATAAACACGCACGTATTAAAGAAACGTGCGTTTGACCTTTATATTAATTATCGCCTTGACCCCTTGACCGAGCTATTTTTAAAACTGTTGTTTATGTGAACTTGCAACCAATCAAAATCCTTCATGATGCTGATCAACCAATCAGATTTCCCGTCCACCAGATGGACGGGAATCCCACGGTTTAGATAGGTTTTGTGTCAGGCCCTATTCTGTGATTAGGGCCTGAACTTCAGGTTATGGCAGAATTAAATTAACTTTCTGAACATTTGTACGTTATTAGACACAAATAAAGCATAAACACTTCAATAACATTTATGTTGTGTATATTTTTATTTGCTGCATATATTTATAATATTAAATTATGTATTTTATACGAGTTCATGTTGTAAAAAAATGTACAACCATCATCTTAACTCCTTCCGACATCATATTGGGACAGTAATATGGAAGACAGACCCTGCATGCTGTAACTGGAGCCTTTCTTAATTAATCGTAGGTTCGAATAAATACGGCTGAAGCGAAAACTTTGCTTCGTCCGTTTCAAATTTTACATTATTCGGTGATATATCCTAGTCTACTTTAGAAGAGCTGCTAGAACTCGATCGGGCCATAATTTAAAATGATCAGTAAGAGAATAAACGATCAATAACAGAATTTATTTACCCAACATCACACCGAAATGAACTACGAAGCTGTTAATTTATAATGTTTACAACGGCACTCATAGGACCACCCGCGGATTCAACAAACATGGCGCCGATAATGGACGAAAAATCAGTGAAACAAAGTTAAATTTCTCGCAAACGAAAAAGAATTGAGGCGAACGAATATTCATTCCAAGGTAGGCTCATATAAAGCTTTCATATGAGCGACACTTGTTCTGGGGGTGGAGTGTCCCTTTAACACACGGATAACATTAAAAATATATAAACTTTAATGTCACATAATAAGGTAAAATACTTAAAATATAACTAACTTTGAATTCGAAAAGAAATATCTTCGAGTAATGGAAATAATACACGTTCAATCGAATAATATAAAACTTGTTTTTGTGCTAAATTCCCCCTATGTAAAGGCGATCGCACGTGCTTAGCCTGCGATCAGGTTCAACAGCCTGCGATCAGGCTCAAAGTAAACGCAACAAATGTTATCGAAACCATGCTCAAGTTTCACAGTTTATCACAATATATTTGTGTTTATTTACGTCCCACGCACAGTTAACTGCTTGATTAGTTAATTAACCGACTACCGTATTGATTCGTTTGAGCGTCACGGCGCACTTTAAATTTTCAGAGCTTCAGATGCGGCGGTCATTCGGGAGCCGCGCTCATTCGGAGGCGGCGCTCTTTAAAAAAAAATTATTTGTATATTAGAACTTTTAACAATAAAATAAACAAGTTTTAAATGTCTTTGTCACTAAATGTCCCCATTTGGACGGCGTAAAGTTTTTACACTGTTTACAAGTTTACAAAATACCAATGTAACTGTCCTCTTCATGATCCGAGTCCAACTGCTGCATCGTAACCACTGTTGGATATGACATCAGACGACGTAAATTCGTCGCATTGAAATGGATTCGATTAAGCGCCGCATTTGAAAATAATTAGTGCGGCGCTCATTTGGCGGCGGCGTAATTTAAAAAAAATATCTCAAATGCGGCTCTCATTCAGGGGCGGCGCTCAATCGGATAAATACGATAACTACTTT